GACCATGGAAAAAACAACTGCATTCAGTTTTGGATACTACCAAGGCAGCTTATTCTTCAGTAATACATGGCTGAAATGCTAACTAGTGGTTTGGACTCAATAGCTACTCTTCAGAGTACAGAAAATTCCCAATACCAAATCAGTCTGGCAGTTCAACATTTGCATTCTTTATCCTCAGATGTAAGACATGGAAAATCAACCTGAGACATACAGAAAAGACACTTAATTTTAAAGGAAGAAACAATGTGTAGTTGATATTCTTCAAATTTACAATTGCTGTTAGTGACAGACTACTTGGGAGAAAAGTATAAGATTACCGGACTGCAAGTCAGTATGGCCAGGTTAAAATGAAGCTTGGAAACGGAACTTTAGTCAACCAATAAACCACAAAAGAAATAGTGTTATCTTTTGGGAATACCAAGCCACAATCCGGTTTCTGCATGTATCCGAGAAAGGGAAAGAAATGGTTTAAGGATTTCAATTACCCTATCTTACACATCTCTGTAGATGCATCTTTTTCCCCACAGAAAAAATATAGTTACACAACTGACTGGGAACTTCAGAGGCCCTGGACCAATTTCCCGATCCATCACTAGGGAGTATCTGTTATTCAGGCTTCCATTGGCCACCTTCTGTCCTTCACTAGAATCCAGAAGCTAGTATCTTTATACGATCTCTATACAATACATAGAAAAAAATACTCCCAGCAATGCTGAGATTTCCAACAATCAGCATGCCAAGCAGGGAGCTAACTAAGCCAGTCAAAAGGAAATACTATAGGAAGTAGCATGGCTCAAGTCTGACCTCTCTGGGAATTACCTCCAGAGAGGGCAGACACACTAAAATCATAATTGTTCAAGATATTTCACATCAGTTAATCTTTATTTCCAAAGAAATCAGAACAGAAAACTACACAACACTATGCAACACTACATTTTTACCCATTAAATGCTTAGTATTCCCTCAAGATACAAGAGATCTAGGATTCATTCCTTCTTCTATCCGACAGGAGTCAACTAATGTTTCCTAACCCATCTGCACAGAACCTAACCATAAGGCTCTTGGGGCAAATAGAAAATGCAGTTTACATGTTTCTTACTGAATTTGCTATATTTATAATTATAAAACCTATGGAGACAGAGAAAAAGAATGAATAGGGTTCTTAGTCAAGATCTTAATCTACTGGAGGAACACCTAGTAAAACATCCTTGCTCAGACATCTGCTGAAGAGTTTCATAATTTCCCCACTTAGCTATCTAAGGAAAGTTTTGAATTCAAACATGAAGCATGGCACAAAGCCAAGTGGCTAAGTCCCTGGCAATGCAGAGACACATGTGAACATGGGCAGAACTTTATGCGCCTGTATTCTCATCAGTGAAGGCTTTCCAAATCCCTGATATCCATAAGCATCCATTATATGAGGAGAGGGGTTACCTGAGGAAGCTTTAAGAGACAGAGTCCAAAATGCCATAGAGGAACAGGGTTCTCCAGGAAACTTTTTCCCAGTCTTACCTCTGGCAACCTGCCCCAGCCACCTTCTGCTGAATTCTCACTTTCCAAAGTCTTTCTCCATCAGTAACAATGCATTGAATAAGACAGGCCAGCACAGCAAACAGCAGGGCACACCCGCAACTGCAGTAGAAGTCCTCCTAATTGCTTTCCAATTCGCAAGCTCCAGCCCCTTCCAGACTGCATCTCTACCAGCATCTAAAAATCAGTGTATGCTGAACACTTAACAAGTTGTCTTACAGCCTGCAAAATAGGTAGACTGCAAAATAAGGAGTTCTACAGCTCCTCTTTTCTTGTACATCAAAAGAAAAGGAATAATTCTGCTCAGATGATCTTGGGTGGTGAATTTCATCTAAACTTTGAGTACTCTATCAGCAAGTTAAGTTTTCTAAAATAGAATCTGTTTATATGTTCTCAGTATTTTCTTCATCAAAATCTTTTCAGTAACTCCACAAAATATCACCTTTCTCTTCACTTTCATAGGCCAGTTTGGAAAGGTAACTGAGCACAAGCTTAGCAAGTCACCCGATATCAATATTTTCCTTTCACATGTAGATCAGACAGAGACAGCTATTTAGTGACTCCTTGCAGTACATCACGTTCTAATACATAACCACAGAACAAGACAGAAAGATAGTATGTTTAATGGCCATACCTGAAATGATAGGGTTTCTCAAGATATCTAAGTGAGGTTCTGATGAACCTTACTTTCATTACATTTCTTACTTAGCTTACATTTCTTACTTTGTATGCATAACACCATTAAAAGAAAAGTTAAATGTAATTTGAGGTTGAAGTTACATTGTCCACATGAAGGATTGGATGATAGAGGCCCATCATCCCATTCACTTCCAGAAGCCTCACAAACATTAGTAAAGCTCCTTCTGAATTAGCAGAAGTAAAAACAAAAAATAAAGAAAAACTCCACCTCTCCCCCACGCACACAACTCCCACCACCTTTTCACAGGGGTAAGGCAAGTGGACAGTCTATTGAATGTTAGAGCTTCTTTTGCTTTATCCTTTATTTCTTTTGCTTTCTTCTTCTGTACACCCATTTGAGCATACCCTATAATACTGAGCCAAAGTGTACTTCCAGCTTTATTTCAAAGTCATTACCACCATTAACTTTCTTCCATCATGACTGCTGGTCTTTCAGCAGGTATTTTCCTCATAGCTATCTGGAAGAATACACGGATTTAGTCTCCATTTTACCATAATTGGGGGACTGCAGCTCACAGACGATAAACAGCTGCAGTCCACTGATCTCTATGGGACTTTCCACTATCTTTCAGTGGAGGAGCAACATACAGAGAACTAAAGTCTATAAAAATTCCCAGGCACCTTCTCCCTGACTGGCTATTTTCTCAAAAAGTGCAATTTTGTACCTGTGGCAACTATGCCAGAAATAAAGCTCTCCTCACAGTGCATAGAGGGTAGGCTGTGGAATCATTTTTCTTGTGGTTCATTTTTAAGTAAGAAGTGTACTTATGTGAGTTCTCCTGATCTACAAATAGACCTATATGCCTTAAAAAAAAAAAGTGACTCAATTTCAGAGAGTTGCACTAAGCTACATGGATATCATGCAATTTAACCGGAATTCCAACAATTGTAAGAGATTGTGTAAGAGTGTTACTTGCTTTACGTTCTGCTTTCCCAGCCACAGTCTTTGGCCCGTCCTACTTGTTATTTTACTGCATTTTTGCTTAAGAGTAAAAAACACTACACAGAAGTATGTACTAAGACTAGATACAACAACAATCCATTATCAAGAAAAACCAACTATAAACTTTTGTTACAAAAAGTATAAAGCCCTACAACAGCAGTTTTTCATGAAACATTTTACCCAATTAGCTGACAGATGTGGAAGCTATCTCCTTCAAAAACATTAGCATTATGTAAACGAATGTTGCGATTTAGCAGTGTTGACATACTGCATTTCACACTCCAAAATACAGCATAAGCAGACAACTAACTGCAATTACTGTACAGTACAGAGAGATAAGAGTATTAGTATCAGCTCCAGCTGCAAAATTTGTTGTAGAAGTGTTTCTTCCATGCTACATCTATTGGCACAACAGGATAAACTGAATAATAATACAACATACAGCTTACAAAATTAATACTGCAATTTGCAGGCTGCTTGATTTAAGGAAAAGGTCATGACTTAATTCAGATGTTATAAGACCTTTGTGTTTAAAATCCACAGTGCACGCTCCTTTAAAGCTTACACATGTGAAACAGATTAAGAGGCACAACAGTAGGGGTTGGTCTCTCCAACTGCCTTCTGCTGGCTACACAGTCCCCTGTTACTATTTCCTGTCCTGAGTAAGGATTTAGTACCATATTACATCATATGTACTTTACTTTTCACTGTTTTTTATTATTTTGCTTTAACAAGCTGTTTGACATTACTTTAGTTCTGAAACGGATATAACTCGTGTATATCAGCCTGCAATATAAACCTAACCTTTATTTGCAACCACAAGCATCCACTGCTTTGGAACTGAAGCTTCTATCCATGCTGTCAACTTATGTGTTGGAAGGCAGAAGAAAGGCATACTATCAACTAATATTTTTACATCTACCATTGACTCTACTTCACTGAAACTATCACCAGCACAGGAACAGTCAGAACTATCAGAGAAGACTGTATGTTATATCATATGTAGGCAGGGATGAAAAAAAATACTTTAGTATTATTCTTCTCATTTAAGACTGAAGCTTGTATCAGCAGCAGCTCAGATACAATGATGCCATCATTCATGATTTTATTGCAGGTCTTGTAAGATTCATTTTTCTTGAGGACCTAAGTCCTGGAATTTTGAGCTTGAATTAAAGAAAAATCTGTTTTCAAGTTTCAGACCTTCATAATTAGAATAAAGAGTTTCACAGTAGAAAAATAGATACTCATACTCAAAAAAGACAAAGTGAAAGTGTGTATTATTTTTAATCTCATTATTTTTAAGCCCATTTTATGATTTTTTTTTTTTTAAGGGGACCTGACTCATGAGCTCTGAATGCATATGGCTGCCAAAACAGCACAGAGGAAGAAGCATTAGAGACAGCACATATCTGCACAGCAAGACATTTGGAAAGACGGTCCAGAAAAACATTAAGAAAATAGGCTGGAGGACACACCAAACTTTTTTAAACAATTCCTAATGTAATTGGCATGCAAAAACAACTGCTGTTCCAAACAACATTTTGAAATGTGATTGCAGGAAACATCATCTTTTATTGGGAACACAGTCCCTATCTAGGCTCATTACTTCACTTCTGTTATACTTCCCAGAAGATTTCACAACAGATTTAAAAAAGTTCTTGCAGTAGATATCTTCTTAAAAAAATACACAAGAAAAGCTTTCAATCTGACAAAGTATAAAGTTGATATATTGATAATATTAGCAAGAAGATCTCTATGCATAGGCAATATACCAGTTACACAGGGCAAGAGATAGCAAATTGCCAGCAATAGCAAAATGACAACTCACAGATTATTCCACAGCCCAGATGGCCCAGCTTGCAGCTGAAAGGCAATCAGCCCCTCCAGAGGTCTCCCTGCTTCAGGGAGACTTGCGTGCACACAGTGAAAACGGTCAACTGTCTCATTCCCATCCACCTTTCCTCAATGCAGTAGCAGTCTACCCCAGCCTTTCACTTAGGGAAAGCAAAGTTTGATTTTACCTACACTGCTAAGAACTCTAGAACATCTTAAGGATAACAACGATTCAGCGTATCCTGTCTAGACAGAACTGAGCTTTGCATTTAAAAGATAGAAAAAAATAAAATGGAATAGACTATTAAATGTCACAGCAGCTAGTACTCAAGATCGTTTTGCATGCTACATTGCTCCT